TATTTCGTCGTAGGATGATGATGGTAATGAATACCTGCATATCTTTTTAAAGCGTTGTTTTGGATAGACCGACGCCGTTTGGAAAAACGCTTTGATAATCCCTGCATTATCCTGTACATTATTTCCAGGCCTTCTTAAAAATGATCTTCCAGGTTATGTCCATAATTTTCTCTGGTCGTTTTGCTGCAAAACGGATTAGAATTTGCGTTCTTATCGAGTTTTGTAAGATTTGAAGTATCCACAAATTATTACCATAGAGTCATCTGTTTATGACAAAATTCACCATACAATCATAGCGCATTCTCCGCTACGGTCCTGTAACAAATAGTCTAGGTCGAAATGGTTCCAACCGAGTCATAACCGTAGGATGCACGGAGTGTGATGCCTGCAGTGAGCTTTTAAAGTGGGTCTTTGCTGTATACTGTAAAAGTGAAATGAAAAGCGGTTTGACCAGTTGTCCGGTGGTCCAGAAGATTGTCTGCTTACCTTTTACCTGTGAGGTCTCGCGTTGGATCCTCTGTTGGTCGTATGGTCTCGCACTGCTGATGAGACTCAACCGGGTCTGGTACTTCGTTGCTTTTCGGTTCGCTCTTCATTTACTCTGTACATGAAGAAATTCACCAGAACCAGATCGTCCCAATATTTATTCAAAGTAAGCTCTGAATTATCCTCTGAAGTATTACTATAGACCTGGTGGCAAATATATCTCCTCTCTTTTATTGAAAATCCTGCGACCAATTTAGAAAAAAAGAAAAGCAAACCAGAATCTCAGGGAATGTATCTGTCATAGGATTGACGGTCTGGAGGATGTACTGGTTTGTCCTACGCACAGCCTTCATGAACTCACAGGAGTTATCACATGCGGTTAAACAGGGGAAGAGGTTATCTATCCTTATTCCGATCTCTTAATTTGGAAAAAGACGTTCAAATGTTGTCTTTACTGTGGCTGAGTAGCCTAGTGTTCGCTTACGTGTACCGTACGGCAACTAGACGCTGAAGGTTTCATCAGAAAAGTCGCTTCCTTATTGGGGCAAAGAACCGCAAGACCAGCCGAATTGATGATTGGAGAATTCGAATGTTATGACTGACTGTTGTGAGCAGTGCTCCTTATGCGTCTGTTCACCTTATACATGGATCTAGTTTATTTATTTTCTGATAATGCTCTGAGCTTTAGACTCATATCTCGTTTGTCGACTAAATGGGTAAACACAACGCAGCAACCAAAACCATCGCATACCAGTGCAACGTTAGTTGCTCTAAATATTCATAATGGCGGCTTTGTTTTCATTCAATCTGACGTTTTCCTTACGGATTTTATCACCTGTGAACATGATGTCAACAAAATAGCTGGTTTCCGGTACTGTATCAGCTGGCTAATTACAGCAAAATTTATATTGGACTAGACAAATGGAAAGAGAAAATACATGTTTGCGAAGGAAATCAGAGTTTAAAAGAGATGATGTTATTATTGTAATTTATGTGCTAGGTGTTCGTGCCTGTGTGTGTTAAGGGGAGGGAGGGTGGCTGTGAAAGGTTGAGTGCGTGAATGAATGAGAGTTTACAAACGGAGGTTACGTTACCAGATTATAAGCGGATGGCCATGTTCCTACAGACTGTTTCTGGGCTCACAAGGCGGTTTGTAGAGATGGATTGCAATCGCCTTCCCTTGATCTTATAGAGAGCCCAGAACGCTTTTAACACATTGGCTGTGTGATTGGACAATCAAATTGCCCGTAATTACCTCGATCCTTGTAACTTTCAGATTCAGCTAACTGCAGGGGTGCCACCAGATTGGCGTTTCGCCGTTCGACCCACATAACTCGCCTGACAGCAGCGAGTGAATTATTGAGCACAAAACAACGTTGAATCCGAGGGGCAATCTGCTTTTGGTCTGCATTTAGAGAACCGGTTTAAACGTGCCTATAATACGGAGTTCAGCCGCAAAGTGGGTGAATTTGACGGAAGATTATATTCTTCGGCTTAGTATTTTTCCATCATTTCTTCAGTGAATGGGATGAACAATGGAGATGAACAATCTTGTTGTCTGTGTCGCTTAACGCCATGGGTGGATATGACGTGTTTCATTTATGAAGGACCCAGGGTATTCATTCTCCATGAAAGTATTTTTCATTTGTGTGTTAGTCTTTGACCGTGTAGGTCCGCTGAAAGGGTTTCAATTCTCAATCCAAAAATTCGCTGTTTGAGTCCCGACAGAGCCGATACAAATAGATCAGCTGTTTTCCAGTTACTGCACCTAACAGTCCATCATCCCTCTAAATTGAAATTGTCTTGTATAGCGGTCAAGAAAAGGAGGTATTTCATTTCGGTGTGCAATAGCCACGGAAACATGCCACTTGGAGCTTCGGAGTAATTTACCCTAATCGATTACATTGAGCAAGAATCATCCTCATGTTGCATTCGTAATGTACTTTCATCCGCCCCCCTTCTGTGTGTTTACTTACAGACCGAGGTACACTCCCGCCTGTCGTTCAACAGACGAGGTCTGGTCGGCATGGCTTGTTTAGAAGAAAACAAGAACACAAGCCAGTTTTTCTTCACCCTAGGCCCAGCTCCGGAACTGACGGGAAAACACACACTATTCGGTCGTGTAGCCGGGGAGACCTTGTTCAATATGCTTCGTCTTGGTGAAGGGGAGGTTGGTCCGGATGAACGCCCTCGTCGCATTCATCGTATTGTGAATTCAACGGTAGGTTATACGAATGTCTGTTGATTCACTGACTGGTTGGTGCCGTGGGTATTGTATTGTATTGCTTGTAACTTTTGCAAGCAATGAAGCTTACATTTCAATTTCAAACCATACATGCCAACCATCACACGGAGCGTATTTAACGAGGAAAATTCTTGCAGATAGCGTTAGTACATTTAACAACTGAAGGTTAAGACAAAGATCACTTGTTTCCCTCTGTTTGTTAGTAAACGCGTTTGTCATCATCATCGTACAGCGAAATACAGTAAAGCGAACTTCACTGATCACTGTCGAACTCGCAGTGCATATAAGATTAGTGGCAAAATTTAAGGTGGAGAGGGATCGGACCTACTTTGAGAGAGGGAGACTAAGGTGAACCATTATGGTGAACACAGAGTGTGTAATCAAACTCTGCATACATACTGTTTCAAGCGTTCTGACCTGATAAGGAATGACAACAAGAACGTCACTGCTGTTACTGCTT